TATCCTAAAAGTGCAAGATAAAAAAACCCTTTCTTAATTGTAATTCTACCTCTTTCTCATTTATATTATTTTATTTAATTACTTTTAAAAGACTATAATATTAAAAAACTCATAAAGACTTATCAAAAGTTGCAACTATGTCATTATATTCAATTTACATAATTATATTTATATTATTTGTCAAATAAATAAATAAAATGTAACGGACAACGTTTTGTTGACAAAAAAAAAAAAAAGATAGGGAAGTTTTCTATTCTCCAACAAGACTAGAAAAGTCCCCCACAAAATAGATATAAGAGATGTGAGTAATGATGGAGGGACGAAATCGGAGATGATTTTAAGGGATGACAAGTGATGACAAGTGATGGGAAGATTCATACATGTAGTGCAATTACTAATTTGACTATGTATAACTTATTGTTCTCCAAAATCGTCTCCCGATTTCGTCCCTTCCATCGTTACTCAAGAGATATATATATTTTTGGCCTTTTGAGGGCAATCATGTCTCTCACAATTTATAGTCCATATATGGATTGGCATTCTACTCCGTTGCAAGATTTTTTACGATTCTCGTCAGATCATGTATTGATGACAAAAGCCACAAAAGAAAGAAATTGCAAAAGAAGACATTGTATCCTGATTCATCATAAGATTTTCACTTTATTAACCATGGGTGGTGTTGTTACAATGACGAAATTTTTATCCCATTTTCTTATATAATTTTTACATATTATTAAATAAATTGATGCATTTAATATCACAGATTTCATATAAATTAAAAAAAATTAATCATTTTAATAATATATCAATTGTAAAAAAAATAAAATAAAAAATTATACAAAAAGCATTTCTCATTAATCATATTGCATTAAATAAGGGCATCTAAAATTTATTACTACTGCCCTTTGGTTAACTCTAAATTAATCAATTTTAAAGTTGTAATTTATCTTGTCTTTATTTCATTTTATTACTATAAAAAAAAAGTACTACCCTTTTCGTAGAACTAAATGGCTATGTATATCTTAAAGTAAAGGTTTTGTTTCGGTCTTGAAAATAATAGCAGTGAACCCTTTATGGTTTTTCCATGGCTTAATTCAATACATTAATGATTGATTTTTTTTTCTCGTTTTAATTTAAAATTTTTATTTTTTTTTGAAATTATTTATTAACATTTAAATTATTTTATTTTTTTAATCCAACACAATTCTATTAGTTTTGGGTAAAGAATTTTATATTTTTGATTATGTGGTACAAAATAAGCAAACTGCGTGAGCTAAGAAGGTAGATAAATTACTTAAAAAATTTTCACTATATAAAACAATTTGTTTTAAAATTTTTCCCCATAAACAATACAAAATTTTCCTCTCATTTTCAAGTTACTTGACAGCTTATATGACACCATACAATTAAAAAAAATTAAAATTTTATTATTTCAATTAATAAAATTATGTTAAATTAGATGAAATTAAAATGAATTTGAAAATTAATAAATAGCTTCAAAATAGATAAAATTTTTATATTAAAAAAATTAATAAATGATTAATTAAATTAAATCGTTTCTCACATTCTCACATTCAGGATGAAACTCTACAATAATTAG